ACTAAGGTAGGGGACAAGAACTAGAATTCGGTAACACTATTTTTCTTTACTTACTCAGTTAAAAATATGTCTGCTTTAAATTTAAGGGGGATTGGGCTGTTAGTACTGAATCTACGACAGGGGACTAAGGCGAGGACATGAGCTAGAGTTCGAAAGTTGTATGGATTTATTGTACTACGCCTGAAGTATGACTTTTAAATTTCAGAGGGATTGGTTTCATATTAAAGAAGATACGAGAGGAAACTAAGGTGGGAGACATGAGCTGGAGGTCAATAAATGTTTGGATCTTATTTACTAGGTCTGAAATACAGGTGTGTTAAATTTCAGGGGGGCTTGGACTGTTAGTATAGAATCTACGACAGGGGACTATAGCGGGGACATGAGCTAGAGTTCGGTAATTTTCATTTGATTTATTTAATTGGGGTCTGAAATGTAGTTGGGTTTTTAAATCTCAGGGGATTTGGACTGTTAGTAGTGAATTTACATGAGCGAACTAAGGCAAAGAGACAAAAGCCGAAACTCGGTAACTGTCTTGGCCTTATTTACTACATCTGAAATAGCTATTTTTAAATCTCAAGGGATTTGGTTAGCTACTAAGAAGATACGAGAGGGAACTAAGGTGGGGGAGCTCGATAATTGAATTTCTTTACTTACAATGTTTGAAGTATGATTGCTGAAAATTTTAGGGAAATTGTTCAAGTATTAACGAAGATATGAAAGGGGGTATAGGCGGGGACAGGAGCTGGAGCTCAGTAACTAAATTATTGTATTTTACTATATCAGAAATAGCTGTGTTTTAAATCTTGAAGAAATTGATTAGATACTAAAGAAGTTGTAATAATAAACTAAGGTGGGGAACAAGAGCTGGAGCATGGTAACTAAATTATTAAATTTTATTATGTCTGAAATATGACTATTTTAAATTTCAGGGAAATTGATCAGGTTTTAACGAAGATACAAGAGGACGTAAAGCCGGGGGGGAACAGGAGCTGGAACTTGAAATATGATGGTTTAAAATTAGGCTAATAGTAGCAAAAATACAGTCATTGACTAATTTCGGTCTTTAACCGGACTCTGAATAATTTTGGGGTCTCAAATGGAACTCTGACTAATTTTATGTCTTACAGCTGGTCTCTGTTCAATTTCGATCTTTTACTGGACTCTGATTAATTTCGGTCTTTTGCTGGACTCTGATGAATTTTGGTCTCAAAGTGAACTCCAAACGAATTTTGGTGTCAAAGTGGACTTTGATGAATTTTGGTCTCAAAGTGGACTCTGAATATTTTCGGCCCTAAACTGGTCTCTGCTTATTTTTGGTCTGAAAACGGTCTCTGTTCAATTTCGGTCTTTTTACTGGATTCCAATGAAAATGGGTTTGAAAATGGTCTTTTTGAATAATTTCGGTCTTACACTCTTAAATAAACTTCTATGATTATATGAACTCTGAAATATTTTAATAAAACTGAAGTCTGAAAAAAATGGAATTTCACCCATAAGAACTCTTTAACTCCAAATGAGTGATTTCCCCCCCAAAAAAAAAATTGACTGTAGAGATTATTTTCAAAAAGTCAGGAGTGGATTTTGCCCCTGAATTTTCCTTTATAACAAATTCCTAACAATTCCTAACAAACTTCTCTGAGCTAAGTACTTCAAGGTCAGGGGTACACCCCACAACGATCAAGCGTTCACCAAGCCAACCCTCCTGAAGCTATTCAAGGATGCAGCTGAAGTAACACCTGACGACATCGAACAAGAAGGCACCAACTTCGTTTTTCGTTTCTCTAACGAGCAAGACTTCGACAAACTGATCAGTCTAGAATTTCGAATTTGTACACAGAACCTCCAGCTCCGCTTCCCTTGCCAGTTGCTTCGTGCCTGGTCTGTCATTGTCAGTGAGCTCAGCCGTTGAATCCTGGAGCGGGTAATTGAAGCACCTTACAGTGGGGAACTTGCGGACACCATCGAGAAAGAAAACCCAGGCGTGACTGTACTTAACACAGTGTTGTGAAATCCCCGCAGCTTGAAGGTCACCTTCGGCACCGCGAACCAGACTCCCCAAGTTATCACAGATGCATTCTTCTGCTATAGAGCCCACGTCCCGTCATTCCGAGTGAAGAAGGAAAGAATCTACAATATCACTCAATGCTTCCGGTGCTACAACTACTCTCACCAAACTAACAAGTGCCAACAGACCATCCAGAAATGCAGTATTTGCGCAAAAGACCATCACTATTCGATCTGCACATCAATAGAACCACACTCCCTGCTCTGCAACGGCAAACATGTCGCAATCTCCCATCAGTGTCCACGCAGACAAGAAGTTATCAAAAACCTTGAGACCCAGGAAAAATCTAAATCTTCCTCTACCTCTGCAGCCGGCACCAGCTCCAGCACTTCAGCTACCACCTCAACCTCTATCTTCAACATCCAAGCAGCCACTTTCCCGAAGCTTCAGGGAGGAGGAACTATCACCACCACACACCAGCAACATCCTGTTACTGCCTCTACTAGCCAATGGGGACCCAGATCCCAGCCACCCGGCCACTCATCGACCCAACCATCGCCGCCTCCACCCCATCCCGGTCAATCACTGCATAGCAGAGTAAAAGCTTTGACATTGACGGCCAGAATGACTGCTGGCACTAACCTCGAAAATTTGTGAGACTTCTGAAACTCCTTTACAAAGCGAAAGGTCTCCCTACCTTCAATGTTCCTGAAGAAGTCTACAACGCTCCAGGTTCAACTTCAGCAACTGACCCTGTAGAGAATGCCGACTCTTCACCCGATGACTATTCTGCCACTTCAATGCAGACTTCAGATCTTGTTCTAGTACCTTCAGCTCACAAGACTCTGCCTCCTGAGACCCCCACTTCTGCTACAGTTCCAGTTGCTAACCGTCACATCACTGTGAACGCAGCCACGCTTTCAGACTTACTGTCAGCTCCTGGTCCACACGTTTCTCCAGCTGTTACTGACCCTTCACCCGTCCCAGTGGTGAATTCAGCTGCAATGAACCCTTGGTCTGACCCTGTAGAGGGTCTATACTATGAAAACTCTTCTGCTGCAGTACCCACTGCTGCTACTCTACCTTCAAGAACTCAACCTTCAAAATCTCAACCTTCAAGAACTCTACCTCTGCGATCTACCACCTCTGCTCTTCACTCATCCGATGAATCGGATGAGGACGTGTCTGTTGGAAAACCATCTCCTCCATTACGGAAATGTCACTACTCAGCTGCCGATTTCCTTCACGACATTGCACCAACAACCCCCAACGATAGCACCACAATGCCAGCACGAAGTCAGACCACCAAGATCAAGACAGACAAGTCCAAGAAGAAGACCAAAGATCAGAGTTTGCTGAAATCGTCAACAAAAAAGACCACTAACGAAATGATTTAACATCATCATCTGAAATCAACCCTCAACTGCCAGCTGCTTGCGATCCCAGTCCCTGTGTGCACTGCAAATGATGCCCCACTCAATTCTACTTCACTCTACTCAAGTTCAAATCCGCGGTGGATGGGCCACCGATCTTTCATCTCCCCTCTTCACCTCGTCTCCAGTTCCTCGCTCAAGATTTCTCCATCCTCGCCCTGTTCTTCCAACCCCTGCTTGTCAGCTCTTTGGACATTTTCGCTTCGCTTCTGTGAACTCTGAAATTATTTTTAATTTTCCCCATCAAAATATGTTAACTCCAAATTGGAAAACTGAGATTTATCAGGAAACCCGACAGTCCAGCATCCAGCAGTAAATGGGCTGGAAAAAATCTCATTTACTGCTGGACTGTAATCCCTACTACTACTGGACATGGGTGTGTAACACAATACTGACTTGCTATAGGGCTCGGCATAGGTGTACCACAATACTGGCTTTCTAGGGGGATGGGCATCGGTGTGTACCACAATACTGACTTGCTAGGGGGATGGGCATGAGCGTGTATCACTATACTGACTTGTTAGGGGGCTGGGCATGGGTGTGTACCACAATACTGACTTGCTAGGGGGCTGGGCATGGGTGTGTACCACAATACTGACTTGCTAGGGGGCTGGGCATGGGTGTGTACCACAATAGTGACTTGCTAGGGGGGCTGGGCATGGGTGTGTACCACAATACTGACTTGCCAGGGGGCTGGGCATGGGTGTGTACCACAATACTGACTTGCTAGGGGGCTGGGCATGCGGGTGTATTAATGCAGTATTTGCGCAAAAGACCATCACTATTCGATCTGCACTTCGAAAGAACCACACTCCCTGCTCTGCAACGGCAAACATGTCGCAATCTCCCATCAGTGTCCACGCAGACAAGAAGTTATCAAAAACCTTGAGACCCAGGAGAAATCCAAATCTTCCTCTACCTCTGCAGCCGGCACCAGCTCCAGCTCTTCAGCTACCACCTCAACCTCTATCTTCAACATCCAAGCAGCCACTTTCTCGAAGCTTCAGGGAGGAGGAACTATCACCACCACACACCAGCAACATCCTGTTACTGCCTCTACTAGCCAATGGGGACCCAGATCCCAGCCACCCGGCCACTCATCGACCCAACCATCGCCGCCTCCACCCCATCCCGGTCAATCACTGCATAGCAGAGTAAAAGCTTTGACATTGACGGCCAGAATGACTGCTGGCACTAACCTCGAAAATTTGTGAGACTTCTGAAACTCCTTTACAAAGCGAACGGTCTCCCTACCTTCAATGTTCCTGAAGAAGTCTACAACGCTCCAGGTTCAACTTAAGCAACTGACCCTGTAGAGAATGCCGACTCTTCACCCGATGACGATTCTGCCACTTCAATGCAGACTTCAGATCTTGTTCTAGTACCTTCAGCTCACAAGACTCTGCCTCCTGAGACCCCCCACTTCTGCTACAGTTCCAGTTGCTAACCGTCACATCACTGTGAACGTAGCCACGCTTTCAGACTTACTGTCAGCACTTGGTCCACACGTTTTTCCAGCTGTTGCTGACCCTTCACCCGTCCCAGTGGTGAATTCAGCTGCAATGAACCCTTGGTCTGACCCTGTAGAGGGTCTATACTATGAAAACTCTTCTGCTGCAGTACCCACTGCTGCTACTTTACCTTCAAGAACTCAACCTTCAAGAACTCAACCTTCAAAATCTCAACCTTCAAGAACTCTACCTCTGCGATCTACCACCTCTGCTCTTCACTCATCCGATGAATCGGATGAGGACGTGTCTGTTGGAACACCATCTCCTCCATTACGGAAATGTCACTACTCAGCTGCCGATTTCCTTCACGACATTGCACCAACAACCCCCAACGATAGCACCACAATGCCAGCACGAAGTCAGACCACCAAGATCAAGACAGACAAGTCCAAGAAGAAGACCAAAGATCAGAGTTTGCTGAAATCGTCAACAAAAAAGACCACTAACGAAATGATTTAACATCATCATCTGAAATCAACCCTCAACTACCAGCTGCTTGCGATCCCAGTCCCTGTGTGCACTGCAAATGATGCCCCACTCAATCCTACTTCACTCTACTCAAGTTCAAATCCGCGGTGGTTGGGCCACCGATCTTTCATCTCCCCCTCTTCACCTCGTCTCCAGTTCCTCGCTCAAGATTTCTGCATCCTCGCCCTGTTCTTCCAACCCCTGCTTGTCAGCTCTTTGGACATTTTCGCTTCGCTTCTCTGAACTCTGAAATTATTTTCAATTTTCCCCATCAAAATATGTTAACTCCAAATTGGAAAACTGAGATTTATCAGGAAACCCGACAGTCCAGCATCCAGCAGTAAATGGGCTGGAAAAAATCTCATATACTGCTGGACTGTAATCCCTACTACTACTGGACATGGGTGTGTAACACAATACTGACTTGCTATAGGGCTCGGCATAGGTGTACCACAATACTGGCTTTCTAAGGGGATGGGCATCGGTGTGTACCACAATACTGACTTGCTAGGGGGATGGGCATGAGCGTGTATCACTATACTGACTTGTTAGGGGGCTGGGCATGGGTGTGTACCACAATACTGACTTGCTAGGGGGCTGGGCATGGGTGTGTACCACAAATCTGACTTGCTAGGGTGCTGGGCATGGGTGTGTACCACAATACTGACTTGCTAGGGGGGCTGGGCATGGGTGTGTACCACAATACTGACTTGCTAGGGGGGCTGGGCATGGGTGTGTACCACAATACTGACTTGCTAGGGGGCTGGGCATGGGTGTGTATCACAATACTGACTTGCTAGGGGGCTGGGCATGCGGGTGTTCCATAAAATAATACAAATAATAAAGAAGACGATAACGATCATACTTAATCTAAAATAGTTATTACAAAAATCATTACTTTCACTTATGACAAAATTTATACTTGGTTCATTGCTGTATAAAATGTAAACTACACACTTCCCTGTTTATACCGCAGGTGTGGGGTCGCCTGAGCCCCCAAGAACAGATCTGGAATCGCTTGAGCCTCCAACGACAGGTCTGGAGTCACTTGAGTCTCCAAGAACAGCAAGGATAACGAGAGAGAGAAAGAATGGACCCGCTGGCGACGATGGCAGCCAGAAAATATTAAAGAATAAAAGTAGAGATAAGAAGAGAAACAAGAGAGAAGAAAAGGCCTCAATAAGGAGTAAAAAGAGAAATGAGAACAAGAGCGGGAAAGAGATAAGAGACGAACACAACAACAAGCGTCGTGATGGAGGTGGCAAGAACGAAGAGAACAAGTCAGAGATGACAACAAATGAAAACAAGACAAAAACAAAACAACTAAGAGGAAGAGGCGAAAAGACGCCTACAACAAAAATCGGAAAGAATGACCTTAATAAAGACAGCGACAAGAACAATGGACAAACTGGGCCTAGCAGCAAGAGAACACGGAAATCAGAAGGAAAAGAGACGAATTCAAACGAGAAAGACAACCGAAAAGGTGAAATAAAAAGGGAAAGAATAAAAGGAATAGACAACAACACAAGAAACAAGACAATAACAACCAATAACAAAAACAAAATAAAGGAGATAGATAAAGTGCAAAGAATTTGGAAAAAGGACAAAGAAATTGGCAAACTCGAACGAGAGAAAAAGATAAAAAATTACATGAAGAACAAGAGAGGCGGAGGAGAAAATAAAAACCAGAGAGAAAAGAACAACAATAAACACATGAAGAACAAAAATATACCTGAACCGAGTAGGAGAAAAGTAAAGGAAATTAAGAAAAAGAACCAAAAACCAGAGAGAAAAATAAATTCATCCTCGAGGAAGAAAACGAAAACAAACTCGAGGGAGAGCAAGATAAATGAGAAGAAAAAAATACTTAACGGAAATAAAATAAATAAGGATAATACAAAAAATACAGTGAATAAAAGGAAAAAGATGAGTAATACAAAAAAGAGTAGGAGTAAGAAGGGCAGAGGCCACAAGACTGGAGCCTCCAGGAAGAGTAAGAAGGACAGAGACCACAAGACTGGAGCCTCCAGGAAGAGTAAAAAGGACAGAGACCACAAGACTGGAGCCTCCAGAAAGAGTAAAAAGGACATAGACCACAAGACTGGAACCTCCAGGAAGAGTAAGAAGGACAGAGACCACAAGACTGGAGCCTCCAAGAAGAGTACGAAGGACAGAGACCACAAGACTGGAGCCTCCAGGAAGAGTAAAAAGGACAGAGACCACAAGACTGGAGCCTCCAGGAAGAGTAAGAAGGACAGAGGCCACAAGACTGGAACCTCCAGGAAGAGTAAGAAGGACAGAGACCAAAAGACTGGAGCCTCCAGGAAGAGTACGAAGGGCAGAGGCCACAAGACTGGAGCCTCCAGGAAGAGTACGAAGGACAGAGACCACAAGACTGGAGCCTCCAGGAAGACTAAGAAGGAGAGAGACCACAACACTGGAGCCTCCAGGGAGAGTAAGAAGGACAGAGACCACAAGACTGGAGCCTCCAAACAGAGTAAGAAGAGCAGAGGCCACAAGACTGAAGCCTCCGGGAAGAGTAAGAAGGAGAGAGGCCACAAGACTGGAGCCTCCAGGAAGAGTAAGAAGAGCAGAGGCCATAAGACCGGAGCCTCCAGGAAAACTAAGAAGGAGAGAGACCACAAGACTGGAGCCTCCAGGGAGAGTAAGAAGGACAGAGGCCACAAGACTGGAGCCATCAGGAAGAGTACGAAAAGCAGAGGCCACAAGACTGGAGCCTCCAGGAAGAGTAAGAAGGACAGAGACCACAAGACTGGAGCCTCCAGAGAGAGTAAGAAGGACAGAGACCACAAGACTGGAGCCTCCAGGGAGAGTAAGAAGGACAGAGACCACAAGACTGGAGCCTCCAGGGAGAGTAAGAAGGACAGAGACCACAAGACTGGAGCCTCCATAAAGACTAAGAAGAACAGAGACCGCAAGACTGGAGCCTCCAGAGAGAGTAAGAAGGACAGAGACTACAAGACTGGAGCCTCCAGGAAGAGTGAGAAGAGCAAAGGCAAAAAGACTGGAGCCTCTAAGAAGAGTAAGAAGAGCAAAGGCAACAAGACTGGAGCCTCTAAGAAGAGTAAGAAGAGCAAAGGCAACAAGACTGGAGCCTCCAAGAAGAGTAAGAAGAGCAAAGGCAACAAGAATGGAGCCTCCAGGAAGAGTAAGAAGGACAGAGGCAACAAGACTGGAGCCTCCAGGGAGAGTAAGAAGGAAAGAGACCACAAGACTGGAGCCTCCAGAGAGAGTAAGAAGAGCAAAGACCACAAGACTGGAGCCTCCAGGAAGAATAAGAAGAGCAGAGGCCACACGACTGGAGCCTCCAGGAAGAGTAAGAAGGACAGAAGCCACAAGACTGGAGCCTCCGGGAAAAGTAAGAAGGACAGAAGCCACAAGACTGGAGCCTCCAGAGAGAGTAAGAAGAGCAAAGGCAACAAGACTGGAGCCTCCAGGAAGAGTAAGAAGGACAGAAGCCACAAGACTGGAGCCTCCGGGAAAAGTAAGAAGGACAGAAGCCACAAGACTGGAGCCTCCAGAGAGAGTAAGAAGAGCAAAGGCAACAAGACTGGAGCCTCCAGGAGGAGTAAGAAGGACAGAGGCCACAAGACTGGAGCCTCCGGGAGGAGTAAGGACAGAGGCCACAAGACTGGAGCCTCCAGGGAGAGTAAGAAGGACAGAAGCCACAAGACTGGAGCCTCCAGGAAGAATAAGAAGAGCAGAGGCCACACGACTGGAGCCTCCAGGAAGAGTACGAAGGACAGAGGCAACAAGACTGGAGCCTCCAGGAAGAGTAAGAAGGACAGAAGCCACAAGACTGGAGCCTCCGGGAAAAGTAAGAAGGACAGAAGCCACAAGACTGGAGCCTCCAGGAAAAGTTTGAAAGGCATAGGCCACATGACTGGAGCCTCCAGGGAGAGTAAGAAGGACAGAGACCACAAGACTGGAACCTCCAGAAAGACTAAGAAGGACAGAGACCACAAGACTGGAGCCTCCAGGGAGAGTAAGAAGAACAGAGACCACAAGACTGGATCCTCCAGGAAGAGTAAGAAGGGCAGAGACCACAAGACTGGAGCCTCCAGGAAAAGTAAGAAGGACAGAAGCCACAAGACTGGAGCCTCCAGGAAGAATAAGAAGAGCAGAGGCCACACGACTGGAGCCTCCAGGAAGAGTAAGAAGGACAGAGGCAACAAGACTGGAGCCTCCAGGAAGAGTAAGAAGGAGAGAGACCACAAGACTGAAGCCTCCAAAAAGAGTAAGAAGGACAGAGACCACAAGACTGGAGCCTCCAGTAAGAGAAAGAACGAAAGAGGCAACACGACTGGAGCCTCCTTGAAGAGTGACAAGAACAGAGGCCACAAGACTGGAGCCTCCAGGAAGAGTAAGAAGAGCAAAGGCAACAAAACTGGAGCCTCTAAGAAGAGTAAGAAGAGCAAAGGCCACAAGACTGGAGCCTCTAAGAAGAGTAAGAAGAGCAAAGGCCAAAAGACTGGAGCCTCCAGGAAGAGTAAGAAGGTCTTAGACCACAAGACTGGAGCCTTCGGGAAGAGTAACAAGGACAGAGATCACAAGACTGGAGCCTCCAGGAAGAGTAAGAAGGAAAGAGACCAGAAGACTGGAGCCTCCAGGGAGAGTAAGAAGGAAAGAGACCACAAGACTGGAGCCTCCAGGGAGAGTAAGAAGGAAAGAGGCCACAAGACTGGAGCCTCCAAGGAGAATAAGAAAGACAGAGGCCACGAGACTGGAGCCTCCAGGAAGAGTAAGAAGAGCAAAAGCCACAAGACTGGAGCCTCTAAGAAGAGTAAGAAGAGCAAAAACCACAAGACTGGAGCCTCTAAGAAGAGTAAGAAGGACAGAGGTCACAAGACTGGAGCCTCCGGAAAAAGTAAGAAGAGCAAAGGCCACAAGACTGGAACCTCCAGGAAGAGTAAGAAGGACAGAGATCACAAGACTGGAGCCTCCAGGACGAGTAAGAAGGACAGAGACCACAAGACTGGAGCCTCCAGTAACAGTAAGACGGACAGAGGCCACAGAAGTGGAGCCTCCAAGACGAGTAAGAAGGACAGAGACCAAAAGACTGGAGCCTCCAAGAAGAGTAAGAAGGACAGAGACCACAAGATTGGAGCCTCCAGGAAAAGTAAGAAGGACAGAGGCCACAAGACTGAAGCCTCCAGGAAGAGTAAGAAGGACAAGGGCCACAGGACTGGAGCCGCCAGGAAGAGTAAGAAGGACAGAGGTCAAAAGACCGGAGCCTCCAGAAAGAGTAAGAAGGACAGAGGCCACAAGACTGGAGCCTCCAGGAAGAGTAAGAAGGACAAGGGCCACAAGACTGGAGCCTCCAGGAAGAGTAAGAAGGACAGAGGCTACAAGACTGAAGCCTCCAGGAAGAGTAAGAAGGACAAGGGCCACAGGACTGGAGCCGCCAGGAAGAGTAAGAAGGACAGAGGTCACAAGACCGGAGCCTCCAGAAAGAGTAAGAAGGACAGAGGCCACAAGACTGGAGCCTCCAGGAAGAGTAAGAAGGACAAGGGCCACAAGACTGGAGCCTCCAGGAAGAGTAAGAAGGACAGAGGCCACAAGACTGGAGCCTCCAGGAAGAGTAAGAAGGACAAGGGCCACAGGACTGGAGCCTCCAGGAAGAGTAAGAAGGACAGAGGTCACAAGACCGGAGCCTCCAGGAAGAGTAAGAAGGTCAGAGGCCACAAGACTGGAGCCTCCAGGAAGAGTAAGAAGGACAGAGGTCACAAGACTGGAGCCTCAAGGAAGAGTAAGAAGGACAGAGGCCACAAGACTGGAGCCTCCAGGAAGAGTAAGAAGGACAGAGGCCACAAGACTGGAGCCTTCAGGAAGAGTAAGAAGGGCAGAGGCCACAAGACTGGAGCCTCCAGGAAGAGTAAGAAGGACAAGGGCCACAAGACTGGAGCCTCCAGGAAGAGTAAGAAGAGCAGAGGCCACAAAACTGGAGCCTCCAGGAAGAGTAAGAAGGATAGGGGCCACAAGACTGGAGCCTCCAGGAAGAGTAAGAAGGACAGAGGCCACAAGACTGGAGCCTCCGGGAAGAGTAAGAAGGACAGAGGCCACAAGACTGGAGCCTCCAGGAAGAGTAAGAAGGACAGAGGCCACAAGACTGGAGCCTCCAGGAAGAGTAAAAAGGACAGAGGCCACAAGACTGGAGCCTCCAGGAAGAGTAAGAAGGATAGGGGCCACAAGACTGGAGCCTCCAGGAAGAGTAAGAAGGACAGAGGCCACAAGACTGGAGCCTCCAGGAAGAGTAAGAAGGACAAAAGCGACAAGACTGGAGCCTCCAGGAAGAGTAAAAAGGACAGAGGCCACAAGACTGGAGCCTCCAGGAAGAGTGAGAAGGATAGGGGCCACAGGACTGGAGCCTCCAGGAAGAGTAAGAAGGAGAGAGGCCACAAGACTGGAGCCTCCAGGAAGAGTACGAAGGTCAGGGGCCACAAGACAGGAGCCTCCAGGAAGAGTAAGAAGGAAAGAGGACACAAGACTGGAGCCTCCAGGAAGAGTAAGAAGGACAGAGGCCACAAGACTGGAGCCTCCAGGAAGAGTAAGAAGGACAGGGGCCACAAGACTGGGGCCTCCAGGAAGAGTAAGAAGGACAGAGGCCACAAGACTGGAGCCTCCAGGAAGAGTAAGAAGGACAGAGGCCACAAGATTGGAGCTTCCAGGAAGAGTAAGAAGGGCAGAGGCCACAAGACTGGAGCCTCCAGGAAGAGTAAGAAGGACAGAGGCCACAAAGGTGGAGGCTCTGGGGAAGGACAGGCACTGGACAACCGGTGCAAGAAGACTGTGAAGGCGTGCAAGAAGTACGGCGGCCAGTGTGTCAGTCCAGAGTCGAAGTGTTCATCTGTGTACAAAACTTTCACGAGCGGATCCTGTAAGACTTGTAAATGTTGCAAACAAGGTGAGTGTTGTCTGCTTTATTTATGTTATATTGCTTACATCCAGCCTATTGTTGTTGTGTTGCTGACACCCAGACTACTGTTGTGTTCCAGACTGTTGTTGTTGTTGTTGTGTTGCAGACACCCAGACTACTGTTGTGTTGTTGACATCCAGACTTTTATTGTTGTGTTCCAGACACCCAGACTGTTGTTGTTGTTGTGTTGCTGACACCAAGACTTTTATTATTGTGTTCCAGACACCCTGACTGTTCTTGTGGTGTGGCTGACACCCAGACTATAGTTGTTGTGTTGCTGACACCCAGACTGTTGTTGTTGTGTTGCTGACACCCAGACTGTTGTTGTTGTGTTGCTGACACCCAGACTGTTGTTATTGTGTTGCTGACACCCAGACTGTTGTTGTTGTGTTGCTGACACCCAGACTGTTGTTGTTGTGTTGTTGACACCCAGACTATTGTTGTTGTGTTGCTGACACCCAGACTATTGTTGTTGTGTTGCTGACACCCAGACTATTGTTGTTGTGTTGCTGACACCCAGACTATTGTTGTTGTGTTGCTGACACCCAGACTATTGTTGTTATGTTGCTGACACCCAGACTATTGTTGTTGTGTTGTTGACACCCAGACTATTGTTGTTGTGTTGCTGACACCCAGACTGTTGTTGTTGTGTTGCTGACACCCAGACTGTTGTTATTGTGTTGCTGACACCCAGACTATTGTTGTTGTGTTGCTGACACCCAGACTATTGTTGTTGTGTTGCTGACACCCAGACTATTGTTGTTGTGTTGCTGACACCCAGACTATTGTTGTTGTGTTGTTGACACCCAGACTGTTGTTGTTGTGTTGCTGACACCCAGACTATTGTTGTTGTGTTGCTGACACCCTGACTATTGTTGTTGTGTTGCTGACACCCAGACTGTTGTTGTTGTGTTGCTGACACCCAGACTATTGTTGTTGTGTTGTTGACACCCAGACTGTTGTTGTTGTGTTGCTGACACCCAGACTGTTGTTGTTGTGTTGCTGACACCCAGATTATTGTTGTGGTTGCTGACACCCAGACTATTGTTGTTGTGTTGCTGACACCCAGACTATTGTTGTTGTGTTGCTGACACCCAGACTGTTGTTGTTGTGTTGCTGACACCCAGATTATTGTTGTGGTTGCTGACACCCAGACTATTGTTGTTGTGTTGCTGACACCCAGACTATTGTTGTTGTGTTGCTGACACCCAGACTATTGTTGTTGTGTTGCTGACACTTAGACTGTTGTTGTTGTGTTGCTGACACCCAGACTGTTGTTGTTGTGTTGCTGACACCCAGACTGTTGTTGTTGTGTTGCTGACACCCAGACTGTTGTTGTTGTGTTGCTGACATATTAGGAAGTTGTGCTATTTAACTGGTGGTTATAATCATTGATAGTTGAGATTTGTTTCCTAAGGGTAAACTTTTATCATACAGTTGGATTACTTCATGTCCACTCTTCCTATCTGCTCTTGTATGATCACAAGTATTTGGTAATTAAATCCCATGTGTATTACTGCCCAAGATTTTTGGATTAATGCTTGTTAAGTGATATTAATGAAGCTTTTGTAAATCCTTCACCAAAGATGTTGCCTCTCGGCCTTGTTTGTTGCGGTAAATGTCGCTAGTTATTATTCCTTTACGAACATGATGACATTGTAAACCGGGATCGCTTTACCACCTGTTACACCAGCGGTGTTACACCAGCGGTGTTACACCAGGGGTGTTACACCAAGAGTGTTACACCAGCGGTGTTACACCAGCGGTGTTACACCAACGATGTTACACCAGCGATGTTACACCAGCGGTGTTACACCAGGGGTGTTACACCAGCGGTGTTACACCAACGATGTTACACCAGCGATGTTACACCAGCGGTGTTACACCAGCGGTGTTACACCAGGGGTGTTACACCAGGGGTGTTACACCAAGGGTGTTACACCAGCGGTGTTACACCAGGGGTGTTACACCAGGGGTGTTACACCAAGGGTGTTACACCAGCGGTGTTACACCAGGGGTGTTACACCAGCGGTGTTACACCAGGGGTGTTACACCAGGGGTGTTACACCAACGATGTTACACCAGCGGTGTTACACCAGCGGTGTTACACCAGGGGTGCTACACCAGGGGTGTTACACCAGCGATGTTACACCAGCGGTGTTACACCAGGGGTGTTACACCAGCGGTGTTACACCAGCGATGTTACACCAGCGGTGTTACACCAGGGGTGTTACACCAGCGGTGTTACACCAGGGGTGCTACACCAGGGGTGCTACACCAGGGGTGTTACACCAGCGATGTTACACCAGCGGTGTTACACCTGCGGTGCTACACCAGCGGTGTTACACCAGCGGTGTTACACCAGGGGTGCTACACCAGGGGTGTTACACCAGCGATGTTACACCAGCGATGTTACACCAGCGGTGTTACACCAGGGGTGTTACACCAGCGGTGTTACACCAGGGGTGCTACACCAGGGGTGTTACACCAGCGGTGTTACACCAGGGGTGTTACACCAGCGGTGTTACACCAGCAGTGTTACACCAGGGGTGTTACACCAGCGATGTTACACCAGCGGTGTTACACCAGGGGTGTTACACCAGGGGTGCTACACCAGGGGTGTTACACCAGCGACGTTACACCAGCGATGTTACACCAGGGGTGTTACACCAGCGGTGTTACACCAGGGGTGTTACACCAGCAGTGTTACACCAGGGGTGCTACACCAGGGGTGTTACACCAGGGGTGTTACACCAGCGGTGTTACACCAGGGGTGTTACACCAGGGGTGTTACACCAGTGGTGTTACACCAGGGGTGTTACACCAGCGGTGTTACATCAGTGTTACACGAACATGAAGATCGCGAATTCTGGAACTCTCTGAGAGCCGTCATGACCAGTGAGGTGTTTCTCTCCACTAGTGCTCCAGGACGTGAGCCGCTGCTCTGGTCACTTATGTATGTCTTAGATCATTTTCTGACCATCTTATTCCAATAGATGGTCAGAAAATAGTAATATCCTTCATTTATTGTGTACCAGCAACTGTGCTGCCAAGTGATAGTTTGCCTTGCAAGTCTTACTGCCATCAGTGGGAAATGTTTTCATACACACATGATATTGTATGTCGTAAAACTGTCCTTCATCAACAGGTTGCAAAAGCAAGAGCAAGTGCAAGAGGCACCAGGACCACTGAGAGTAGTGTCTGGTCTCCCGAAGTGACTATGGGGAAGGTGGCTCCATTACCCGACTCGTCGAGGCCTACCTTTATACACACATGATATTATATATTGTAAAACTGTCCTTCATTAACAGATTGCAAAACCAAGAGCAAGTGCAAGAAGCGTGGAGGGTCCTGCAAGACGTTGTGTTCGGTGGGTGAGAGCGTTTATAAGACTGGCTGTAAAGGACGGAAGTGCAAGTGTTGTGTGGCGGGTGATGGAGGTAAGTGTTGTGTGGCGGGTGGTGGAGGTAAGTGTTGTGTGGCGGGTGGTGGAGGTAAGTGTTGTGTGGCGGGTGGTGGAGGTAAGTGTTGTGTGGCGGGTGATGGAGGTAAGTGTTGTGTGGTGGGTGGTGGTAGTAAGTGGTGTGTGGTGGGTGGTAGAGGTAAGTGTTGTGTGGTGGGTGGTGGAGGTAAGTGTTGTGTGGCGGGTGGTGGAGGTAAGTGTTGTGTGGGTGGAGAGAACGAGAACAAAGGCGCATAAAGCAAACGATATCATAGATATCCGATTCACTAAGAATTCTATGGAGGGACAAGTGACCGCGAGGGACGGTCGGAAAGCAAGACGCACGCGCATCCTGGAAGTCAGGACATTCAACAAAGATATGCACGTCCGTAAGAGGGACAATACAGTATGGACAATAAGGAGCAGGACAGCGCTCTATTAAGTACCCATGAGTTAAGCGTGTATGGCCAATACTTAACTTCGCCAGAGCCGTTTCCCACCGCCGGTTACGGTGGTAGGAGGAAGGCCATGAGTACACACTAATCTTAAGAGCACTCAGTTTGTTGCCAAGACCAACGACCCTGCCCGTGGGCAAGGATGGAGGAATGAATACCTGGGTAAAAGTCGGAATAAAGAATACCTTTACGGGTGATGGGACAAGAGCGGACAGTTTCCCTAGCGGCAGCGTCTGCATGCTTAAGGACACACCAATATGGCTGAGAACCCAGTAAAACTCCACTATCTTAAACCTCCTGGAGGATTCGAGAACCGCCATTGAAGCCTTGCAACAAGAACACATATGTGATAACATCCATCTGATCACAAATGTCATATCATTCATGCAAACACTCAAACGACAAGGCCGACGGGTACTTATCAACTGGGTGCCAAGTCATGTGGGAATAATAGGAAATGACATTGCAGACGAAGCTGCAAAACTTGCTACTAAGAGGAGAAATGTAGACATTTACATACCACAGAGTCTATCACAGATTAAGAAAGTAATTAGAAACAGAGCAATGCAAAAGATGTACAGTGACCACAGCACAGCAGTTGCAACATAAGGATCTGCGGGTTGGTACAAGAATTCAACCAACTACGAACCACTTAGTTTGATGAAAGGGAACAGTAGAGCAACAGAAGTGCATTTACATCGCATCAGGCTTGGATACCCATGTGCATGGGAAATAGGCTTACAGGTTCCGGAAGATGAGAGGAAATGTCAACACTGTGGAGAAATGCCCGACAGACCACTGGAACATTATCTAACACAGTGCACAGTTACAAACCCATTAAGATTTCAACTTAGTTTCAACAGAGCAGAAGAAGTTGTTAAACACATATGGCAAAATCTTACTGAAGCGACCATACGAGTCATAAATACTCATACTCCGCCCAAGTAAAACAGAAACAAGCAACACTTAATGGGCCAGCCAGAGGCTTAGGGCCCGCGCAGGAATATCCCTGAAAAAAAAAAAATCCTGGAGATAAGAAACACCCAATGTTGAATCGACTACCACAGGATGGACTGGATTAAAGGACTCCAAAGCCATGAGCTGTTGTTGTTGGTGGTGTTTATTTAGGGGCAACGACGATCGTGGGATCGGATGCGCCCCGGTGTACCCGTGAAGGATACGCGAAGCCTAATGGCGAAATGAACAGTCTCCGTGGTGTAGTGGTAAGACACTCGCCTGGCGTTCCGCGAGCGCTATGTCATGGGTTCGTATTCTGGCCGGGAACGATTTACTGGGCGCAATTCCTTAACTGTAGCCTCTGTTTAACAAAACAGTAAAATGTGTACTTGGATGAAAAAACGATTCTTCGCGGCGGGGATCGTATTCCAGGGACCTGCCCGAAACGCTACGCGTACTAGTGGCTGTACAAGAATGTAACAACTCTTGTATATATCTCAAAAAAATGAATGTTGCTCATCAGCGGAAACTACCATGCCTTACGGCCAATAAACACAGACGGGCAGATGATTGCGGAGCCCCCAGGAGTCCCTCAGGGTGACAAGCACCTGCCCCACCCCACACAGAGAACACTGGGTAACAAAATAAAAAACTCGGCCCACAACGAAAGCGCAATATGTTGTCCAGTGACCCCCTCCCCCCCGTATCTCTCGGCCAAGCCGACGCCGGACGCCGCCACCCCGTCAGGAGAACCAACCAGAAAACGTTCAAAATCTATCAACTATCCTCTGACCCAAGGCGAGATGTGCGGACCATAACAAACAAGACCGTTGAAAAGAAATACCAAACGGCAGTATCAAAATCATGAGATTGAACGTGATCCGGCGGCCCCCCAGGCGGTGTCGTCCTGACGTCCGCTCGTCATCAAGGTTTAACCAGGACTCCAGAGCCATGAATGCACTGCAAGAGTCACCGACAACGACAAAGGAAGATTGACAGCGAGAAAGCTGTTGACGAAGAGCAAACAAAATTGCATAAAGGTTTACTGTGACAATGCTAGTCTCCAGGGGCAGGCGACACATAAAGGTGTGGTCAGAAAATATACCACCGTAGCCCACACCATCGGCAGACTTAGACCCATCGGTGAAGACGGAGATGGAGCGGGAAGGGAAGAGAACTATCAGGGGAAAAAACGCCAAGCCATTATGACTATATAGCACTTGGAAGGGATCAGGACAATGTGAGGAGAATCTGAAATAGAGTAGTAACTATTCTGGCAGGCGTTGTGCCAATCGCACATTAATAAAAAAGAAAAGAGAAAACAAAGTAAAAAAATGTTTGATACCTTTACCGTGTGAAAACTGTGGGTAAAAAAAAAAGAATAAAAACTTTAAACATTTAATATAAAAAAAAGATTAATTTTACACAAACTGACAAGTAACAATTAATGAAAACAAAACCCGTTATCCACTTGGCTTAAACACAATCAAAAGAGAAATATACACATGTGAAATTTACGTTAATAACAAAAGTGCGGGTAATACTTTATACAAAAATGCCGTGTGCGTCTACTATCACCTGGAGGCGAGAGTAGTTGCGGTAGCAATGAACACTTGAGGAGTAGTCTGACGCTCTGGATTGATTGATTGATTGATTGATGAAGATTAAGTCACCCAAAAGGCGGCACAGGCATGAATAGCCAGTAAGTGGTGGCCCTTTTGAGCCATTACCAGTATCAAGAGATGATACTGGAGATCTGTGGAGGCGCGACTGCACTCTGCGTGACGGGAGATGTCTCCCGGACCATATGGTGACCAAATGGTCCCCCCTGGACGCTCTGGACGCTGGCAGGGCTTCTTATACGGGCTGTGACGTCATATTCAGCGTGAATACTGGTGTTGGAGACAAGAAGCCGGCAGTTAAACGAGCGAGAGAGGTAATTAGCTGCTGGTGTCTGGTTATCCGGCGAGACAACAGGTGCAGGTGTCTCGGGTACGGAAATGTGGAGGGGGAAGGAGGTGTGTGTCTAGACAATACATTTTGGCCCGTAATGTTGTTGTTGAATCTTGATGTTGGAGCATGCAGATACGTTGGTGGTAAGGAACAGGCAGAATCTACTGCTATGTAGGAGATAACAGTAACAATAAGGTTTGGGATGGGACGGGAGGAAGGAATGGTGCCCAACCACTTGGACGGTCGGGGATTCAACGCCGAACTGCTTGAAGGCGAGACCGTCGCTCTACCATCCATCGCAAGTGGTTGGAAATGGAACGGGAGTGTGAAGAAAAGTGAGCAAGGAAAAGGCGTTTCAAAACTGTAGATTTGTAAAAGCTTTAGTCACGTGGGTCAAGGTTTTACAAAACTTAGGAAGAGGGACCCTCCATGGGGGGCAAGGATGGAACGACACGAGGAGAAATATTGGTAACAAGAACCGAGAGAGAACCTTGCAAGCGAGACAACCGTACAGAAAGGGGAAGGTGGTGAAAGGAAACAGGACCCACAGGAGGGATAACGGTCAACGTGCGACATAAGCGAGTGTGAGGGTGTTGTAGGGACCGCGCAAGGTAGCGATGACGGCGATCCTGTAGAGACTGGACGCCAGTTTCAACATACAGGCTACCGGAAGGCACCACAGCTGAGGCGTAACCCAGTATGGTGCAAAGCGTCAAGACGACGAAGAGTTGAGGGAGAGGCAGACGAGTAAGCAGGAAGTGCGTGTTGTGTGGCGGGTGGTGGAGGTAAGTGTTGTGTAGCGAGTGATGGATGTAGGTGTTGTGTGGCGCGTGGTGGATGTAGGTGTTGTGTGGCGCGTGGTGGAGGTGGAGAAGATTGTAACTGTGCTCACCTAACAGCGTCTACGCGGGAGTGAGGTTTAGATCTTTATGCCTTAACTATGTTAACGTTCAAATTCTTTGTCGAATATGTCTTTAAAACTTTGCATGGAGGTGGCTTCCACAGCTTCTTTAAGCGCATTCCACTTGTTGACTACCTGTACAGAGTATGAGTATTTCCTTACATTCCTTCGGCTCATTTGCGTTTCCAGCTTCCCCCTGTGTTCTCTTGCCCTACTTTCTCTCAGTATGAGGAGGCTATCCTTGTCCACCCTCATCTCTTCCCCTCATTATCTTGTATGTTGTGGTCATATCCTCAATGTTCCTTCTCTCTTCTAGGGATGTGAGATTTAGTTCCATTAGCCTATTCTTGTTGCTTTACTCTCTCATCTCCCACACTAATCTTATTGCAAACTTTTGTACTGTTTAAATTTTGGCCTTATGCTTCAAAGGTGCGGATTCCAAGCCGGTGCTGCATATTCTGGTATTGGTGTAACAAATGTTGTGTATCTTGCCTTGAAGGAGTCCTGATTTAGGTTTCAAAATAATGTTTTTTAATATTTGCCAGTTCCATTTACTTCTGATGTTATCCTGTTTATCTGTTTCTCTGGGATGAGTATTAAAACTACTTTCTCTCCTCTCAAATCTTTCTCTCTTTCTTATTTCTGTAGTTGTCTTTCCCTTATGGTGCAAATCTTTCTCTTTCTTATTTCTGTAGTTGTCTTTCCCTTATGGTGCAAATCTTTCTCTTTCTTATTTCTGTAGTTGTCTTTCCCTTATGGTGGAGATGTCTTTGGTCTCCTCTTTCCATTAATCTATTACCTTAGAATTGTTGGATTGAACCCCAGCAACCATTTGTTGGACCACTCCTGGAATTTATCTAGGTCCTTCTGTAACTTCCTGCAGTCATCCTGTTTTTACATTACTCGTCAGCTTTGTGTCATCTGCAAACATTGACTTGTCTGAGCTCACTCCCTCGGGTAGGTCGCTCACATAAATTAGTAATAGCAGTGGTTCGAGGACCAAGCCTTGTGGGACTGTACGTGTTACATTCATCCAGCTTGAAACCTCCTCTCTGATTGTGACTCTTTGTTTTCTGTCCTCCAGGTACTCCCTTACCCAGTTCGTGTTTTCCAGTTATCCCAGCCTGCCTCTCCATCTTGTACACCAGTCTTTTATGAGGAACAGTGTCAAATGCTTTTTGACAATCTAGGAAAATACAGTCTAACCCGCCCCCTTTTTCCTGTCATATTTTAGTAACCCTGTCATATAACTCAACCAAGTTTGTCAGTCATGATTTTCCCTTTCTAATCCAAGCTGCCATTTTGTTATATAGTCAGTCTTGTCCAGATGCTCTACGATTTTCGACCTGTTTACTTTCTCAAGCACTTTAGACAGAATACATGACAATGGCACTTGTCTGTAATGTAAAGCCTCCTTTCTATCCTCTGTTTTGAAAACTGGGACTACATCTGCTATTTTCCAGATTTCTGGGAGATTTCCTGTCTCAATCATTTTATTAAAAATGTTAGATAATAGGTGACAAAGTATTTCTGCAGCCTCCTTCAGCAGCCATGGTGAGATTAGATATTGCTCTATTCCTTTTATCACATATATAGTTTCTCCCAACCTTTTCTTACCTCATCTACAGTAACTACAATGTCATCCATTGTTTCTTCCGGCCTTTCATCTCACAACCTTGGTATCTACACTGGTTCTACTGTGTGGAGTAGATCCTTTGTTGATTTAGGTTTAGCTCTAAATATTTTGTTGTGTTCTTCTCATACCTCGTTATCATTTTCTGTGAGAATTCCCCCTTGTCTCCCTAATCTGAGTATATAGCCTTGCACTGTTATTTTTCTCCTTATATGGCTATAGAACAGCTTTAGGTAGTCCTTAATTATTGCAGCAATGTCATTTTCAAATTGCCTCTCGCCTTCTCTCCTAACTTGGGTGTATACATTTCTGGCTCTCTTTAGTGCCTCTCAATTGTCCTCTAATCCTAGTTCTCTTTATTTTGTTGAGGATTTTCGTCCTTTCATTAGCTTGAAGGCAATATTTACACATTTGTTGAGCGTTTGTTATAAAGCTGTCTCTAAGTGAATCTGATAAGAAATCAGATACTGGAAGGGGTCTGATGCTCCTGAGAACCGGACAAATCCCTTCACAAAAGATGAGAAGCTGGAGATGATCACTGGTCATGTAGGAAGCTAGAGGCTGATGTGAAGATACTATTGCCAGACAGAGGTCCAGAGTTGATGCAGCTCCCATGTGAGAATCTCCCCAACTCTCCAGACCTAGGGACGTAAGGAGTGAAATGGGTCTCTGGGCCACTGAGAGGCAATGACTGATGGCTCTCATGCGGCATGACAAGCGTTGAAGTCGTCCATCATAAGAGTCAGGGAAGCAGAGGTCAAGGGACGGAGAATTGCTGGAGGTAATGCTAAAATTCCAATGTGGTCAAAGCGGAGATCTTCACTAGGAACTGAATCTCGGAGCAGGTTGACACGCCCACTACCACACTTCGTATGGCAGTCTTGGTAGATTCCATACATTCAAATCAAAATCAAATCAAATGTTTATTCAGGTAAAGTACATACATACAAGGTGAGATGCAAACATTGATGGATTTATAGATAGAGCTAGTACATATAATGCCTAAAGCCACTATTACGCAAAGCGTTTCGGGCAGGAAATTGACCGAAAGGAACCACCAGGGCA